CTCTCTCTCTCTCTCTCTGTGTCTCTCTCTCTCTCACACACACACACACACACACACACACTTTAAATTTTTTATTAAAAAGTGTATGACATACCATGCATGCTATTTCACAATTTGCTTTTTTTTACTTACTAATATTTATTGAAAACTGTTCAATGTCAGTATACATAATAGTTGCCTAAATCAAAATGTGTCTGGTAGCTGATTGCTTCTCATTACTTTTGCTGCTACCACACACGTTTTAACCTCCACCAACTCTTGCAGGAGCTGCCCAGTCTCCACTCCCATCCCCTCTGCAGCTCTACAATCTCTTTTCAATATGGCAGCCAGAATGTGGTTCAGATCATCTCCCATTCAGGACAAAAGCTAAAGGACACATAATTGCCTGCAAGGATTATCCCACATGATCTGTTCCTCTACCACCACCTCAGTTACCTCTCAGCCTCATCTTCAACAACTCTCTCCCTATCTCATTCCATTTCTTGTCAGTGTAGCCTCCTTGGAGTTCCTTGAACACACGAGGCACACTCCTGCCTCAGGGTCCTGGCCCTTGCTGTTTCCTCTGACTGAGAGGCTCTTCCCCCAGCAGCTGCATGGCTTCCTCCCTGATCTCCTTTATGATGTTTCTGTTCAAAGGTCACTTCTCATTGAGCCTTCTTTAACCACCACCTCCTTGCCTGCACACACTCCGTTCCATTTGCCTACTTACCTTTCTCTGTTGCACTTATCAGCATTGGACATACCATATAGTTTACTTCTTTACTGTCCGCATAGAAGGATATTTGTCTATCTTGTCCCCTGCTGTATTCCCAGCACCTAGAACAGGGGCTGACACAAAGGAGGCACTTAATAATAATTGAACGAATGGATGAATTTATGCTGCATAGTACTTGTGTGAGTTCTATTCGTGTGACCCAGTCTAGTGTAGTTTAACCATTGCTACATTTTGGGACTTCAATATGCTTTTGGTCTCTTGTGACCTTGGCAAAATTGCTTAACTTCTCTGAGCTTTGATTTCCCTGCTATAAAATCAGTATAGTAGTTGTACCTACATGTTATACGGCTGTTGTGAGGATTAAAATTTTTAAAAGATTGTAAAGGGGTTAGCACCATGCCTGGCTTACAGTAAGATCTGAAAAATATAACTATGATTTCTCTCACTATTTATTATTCATCAGAAATGGACTCATGAAAAGAATACATGGTTGAGCATAATAAATACACAGTCAGCCTTCTGCATCCATGTGCTGTGCATTCAACCAACTTTTCAAACAATTTGAACAATTGCGGATTCAACCAACTGCAGATTGAAAATATTTGGAAGAACAAATTGCATTTTTACTGAACATCTACATAAACAATACAGTATAACCACTATTAACATAGCATTTACCTTGCATTAGGTATTATAAGTAACCTAGAGATGATTTAAAGTATGTGGGAGGATGTGAATAGTTTATATGCAAATACTACCTCGTTTTACATTAGGGACTTGAGTGCCCTCTAATTTTGGTCTCTACTGGAGGTCTTGAAACTGAATTCCCCATGGATACCGAGGGATGACTGTGTGCCTATAGACATATACATTATATGAGGATATTTCAAAAAGTTTGTGAAAATAGAATTAAAAGATAATACAAATCTTTCCACAAACTTTTTGAGGTATTCTTCAAAAAGAGTGTTTTTGTGTGTATACATATACATGTACATACAGAGAGAAAGAAATGCAACTTCTTATTTTTAAATTGAATAGTGTTTCCTTTCAGTGATTATCCCCTTAGAATATGTCACTTTTGTGTGTGTGTGAAGTTACTCAACATCTTTAGAAAAAATGTTTTAGCACTTCAGAGGGAGGAAACTTTATCTTTGCATTTCCATTTTCTAGCTGGTCCCAAACAAAGTACTTGCTTATTAAACTTTGTTGAATAAATGAATGGAAGAATGAATCTCAATGGGCACAAGTAAGTTTATTTTTTTCAGGGGTGGCTGGCTGGTGTGGTGATCTGAACCCCTGACCTTGGTGTTATACTGTGCTCTAACAAACTGAGCTAAACAGTCACAAGTTCATATTTATTGAAAAGCTGCAAAGTATCGCCAGGCACCACAGTAGGCACAAAGGATATAAAAAAAGAACACTTTTTGGTTGAACTTTATTTCAAGACCTCCACAGAGTAATCATTGAATTTGGGGGTGGTAGTATATATTTTTTTCAGAAGTAGTTTTTTAACTGGAGGAGGGGAAATTTGGACTCATCACCTTTGCAAAGTAAAAAAACCTCCAAAACATGTCTTTGCCATGATTTCTCTGAAGAGCTTTTCAAAGAAACAAAACGTCAATGGTTTACCAAGTAGACAAAAGGAGTGAAGCAACAGGTGTACCAGTGTGGGAATCCTACAGTGATTCAAGACCTCTATGAATTCCTGCGGTTCCCAGTAAGTCCCCACGCATATTGCTAACTGCCAATGACTCCATATTTAGTGAACAAGAGTATGACAGTGAGTTTAGCAGCTTGAGGCAGACAAAAAGCTCTGACCTGAGGTACAAGACCTGGGTTAGAATCTAGCTCTGCAATCTAACCCTGAGCAACACAATCCTAAGTTTCCCCACCATAAAATTAAGTTTTGAAGAATTAACCTCCTTTAAATGAGCAAATGGGTGAGAAAATCATCCAGATCCTGGAAACTACTGTGGAAATGGGACTCTGGTTCTGATAGGGACCAGAAGCTCCTTTGAACCATTCATTCAACAGCTACCTTTGAGTGGAGTGCCTGTTACCACCGTGCCACCTATGCACCGAGGACACAGAAAACAACTATCTGGACAGGATCCCTGCCCTTGGCAAGCATGCAGTTCTCTTCCAGGATTTTATCCCCAGGAAAGAATTCTGCAGAAGTAAAAATATATTTGTAGGAAGATGATCCTTGCAGGGGCACCTGTAACAACAAAACTGAAAATAACCCAGGCATTTACAAAAAGCAGAATGGTTTCATCATTTATGCATCCCAACATTTTGATTAAAAGGAATATCCTACCCACACCTATACCCTGTCCCCTGTGGAGGTGGTGATTTGTTTGGAGGCAAGGCTGGGGATCCTGCCCCAAGGGCGTGGCTACTTGGAGGCTAGGACAAAGGGGTGTGTGATGGTGACAGGTCACAAAGGACAGTAGAGGATAAATGAGGTGGTGCTAGGGGATTTAAGCAGAAGCCCTGCAGGGAGATGGGCAGTTACCTTCACTCCCTCTCTCTTGGGGATGCTATTTGTGGCTGGTGGGGGTGCCTTAAGTGAAGAAAACCATGAGCAGTGAATATTTGTTACCTCATTACACGGCCCGCAGCTACCGTTCAATGGGTGTGTTCAGTACCTCCATGGGGGACCTGCAACGACAACTGTACAAAGAAGGAGAGTATGAAATTTTCAAGTATGCACCGATGTTTGAGAGCGACTTTATCCAGATCACCAAAAAAGGAGAGGTGATTGATGTGCACAACCGTGTTGGAATGGTGACTGTGGGCATCACATCCACCAGCCCCGTTCTCCCACTACCTGACGTCTTGCTGCTGGCTCGACCTAAAGTCTGTGAAGAGAATGCCAGATGCGGCAGGTCTGCCAAGGTGGGAGGTCGCAGGACTGCCAAGACTCTTGAGCTCACCAGACTGCTTCCCTTGAAGTTCGTCAAGATCTCCATCCACAATCATGAGAGACAGCAGCTGCGCCTGAAGCTTGCCACTGGCCGCAGTGTTTATCTGCAGCTGTGTCCCTCTTCAGATGCACGAGAAGACCTCTTCTCATACTGGGAAAAACTTGTCTATCTCCTGAGACCACCAGTGGAGAGTTCAAGCTGTTCCCCGACACTTAAAACTGGGGACTCAACCACAAAGGATGACAAAAGCATAGGGGTAAGTACCTACAGAGACTCAAGAAAATGGGGCAGGGGGCTTTGTGTGAGCTGGTCCTACCAAACCTTTGGTGGAAGTACATTCTATTTGAAAGCGTTCAGGGCTAAATGAGCCACCACAAGGGGACTTATCACACTGGGAGGTTCAAGTGCTTCTCCAGAGCATCCCATAAAGCCAAATTGCAGAGACCTCAGGTATCAGCTACTCTGATCTCATACCCAGGGTTGTAATCACTTCTGCAGCATCCTGATTGTCCAATCTCTTTTTGAACACTTACTACGCTGACCCAGGTAGTCTTGTTTGTTGTAGAACATTTTTAACGATTAGGATGTCCTTTCATTTGAGTCTGTCTCCCTGTGACTACCATGCACATTGATTTTTGTGTAAAACATCACAACCTGTGTGTGTGTGTGCACATGCACAATTTTAGTCACCACCCCAATGTAAAATGTGTTTATCTCTTGACCCAGCAATCCCACTTCCAGAAATCTGTCCTGCAGAGATATAAGCACAAGTGAGTAAAACAAAATGTATAAGAATGGGGGACATTTTTAACGATTAGGATGTCCTTTCATTTGAGTCTGTCTCCCTGTGACTACCATGCACACTGATTTTTGTGTAAAACATCACAACCTGTGTTTGTGTGTGCACATGCACAATTTTAGTCACCACCCAAATGTAAAACGTGTTTATCTCTTGACCCAGCAATCCCACTTCCAGAAATCTGTCCTGCAGAGATATAAGCACAAGTGAGTAAAACAAAATGTATAAGAATGGGGAATTGTATCTGTGCCCTTTCTCTGGCACTGGAATTGTTCAAGAGAAATGGAGTGAGTATTTGATGGGGGTGCTGTTGATGGGATCTTGCAACAAACGGAAGCTTAGACTTGATGATTTCAAAGGTTCTTCTAATTATAAGCCCTTGAGTTGCTCAGCTCCAGGATGAGAGAGGAGCAGACAGTTCTGGTCTCTCTTTCTGTTTTTTTTTTTTTTTAATCTTACCTGTTTCTCCTTCCCTTGGCACAGGCCACATCATTCCATGGAGAAGGAGATCAGGACGAGCCCGGGCTTCACAAGCCTGGTGAGGTATCTAGAGCTATGTCTTCTGCTTATGCTGGGGGAGAGGGAATCCAACATGCCTCCTACGGGATGCCTACTACCGCTTCTGTAGCCATGACCACTTCAAGGTCTGCCAGAGGAGCAGCAGTAGCAGGGACAACAGCAGGCTCTGCAGCAGGCCTGGCAGTATCAGGGACAGCAAGCCCTGCAACAAACAAGTCCGCAGGCCCAGGCCAAGTAACCGCGGCCCTGGCAGGAATAGCCACCCAGGATCCAGGAGATAGCAGAGCCAGCAAGGCCCTGGCAGGTGCTGCCAGCATATCTTCAGAGGGTGTGAATGTGGTCTTGGTGGGTGCTGCAAGCCCCTCCCTGGCAGGTGCCTCCACCACAACAGTGGAGACCACCAGTCTCTCCCCAGAAAGCAGCTTCAGTGTGGTGTTTGCAGGTGCTGTGGCCACTGGCACACCTGTTGTAGAAAGAGCTGAAGGACGAGTGGTGGGACCCCTCGTATCAACCTTGCAGAGCGAAGGCTACATGTGTGAACGGGATGGGAGCCAAAAGGTGTCCCAACCTGGTGCTGAGGGCCGAAAAGAAAAAAAGGAAAGAAAAGAAAAGGACAGAAATACCACTAGGAAGAGTTCCCGTCACCGCAGGACAGATGAGAGTCACCACAGGACAGACAGGGACAACACTCGGAAATCGTCCTCCCACCTGTCCTTATCCAGCCATGGAAACACAAGAGATGACAAAAAAGAAAAAGGCCAGAGCAAAGTGAAGAAGGGCAGAGGACACAGCTCATCTCGCAAAAGCTCCAGCCACAGCTCCACTGCAAAGGGGTCAAAGACAACTCACAAATTGGGGAAGAGCCAATCTTCGCTTAGTTCAGGCTCCAGAAGTAAGAAATCCAGTAAAATCAGCTCTTTTTGGAGGAGCTTCAGAGCCACTCCTAGTTCCAAAACAGCGGTCATACCACACGACAGAGAGGTAGACATTGTGGCTAAGATGGTGGAGAAACACAACATAGAGACCAAGGTGGAGAAATCTCATGGTGGCCAGGAACTGGGGGTCACTGGCACCATGACGTCCGAGAAGCTGGAGACGATAATCTTTGAAACCAAATCCACTTAAGTAAGAACCAGGGCTGGAAGCTGTAATGGAGACCCAGGGCTCAGGGAAGTATCCCTGGAGAGTCAATTCCAACTTTCTTGACTGCAGTTTAAATGATAAAGGAAACCACACAACTCCAAAAGAAATGCTGTCTTCTGTTTGAATTTCTCTGTCCCTTTGCCAAGCAGTAACTTCACAGTGGCTTCTGTGATGTTAACTATGCAGCAGTCTGAGACCCCAGCCTCCAGTTAGGTAGAGATCCAGCTCCCACCTCACCTCAACCCCTTCCTGCCTTTGGTTCACCAACGTTATGAATGTCATGGACGATGGGCTGAGATGCACCACCACCACTACGTCCCCATGCCCATCTTCTTCTCCTTGAAGGCCCCTAAACACGGACATTCATCCAGTTCATAGACTAAGCAAAGACAGGACTCATATCCCCTTGGGATGAGGAAGGAGAGGGCGTGGCAGCATTAGTAGGCAATTGGATTAGGAAATCTATTCATCTAGATCAGGCATCGGCAGACCATGTCCTGAGGACCTAATCTTGCCAGCTGCCTAGATTTGTGAATAAACTTTTATTGGAACATAGCCACAGCCAGTCATTTACATACTGTCTATGGCTGCTTTCACACTAAATCAACAGATTTGAGTAGTTGTAGTAATGACCATATGGCCTGCAGAGCCTAGAATATTTACTATCCAGCCCTTTACAGAAAAAGTTTGCTGACCCCTGGTCTAATCTTAACAATTCTCCTCCCTCCTAGGTATATACCCTGGAGAAACTCTCATGCACACTTGCCAGGAAGAGAGCTAGGAGAATGCTTATTACAATTTGTAATAGCAAAACCCTAGAAACAGAGCCAATGTACATCAAACAGAAGAATTGATAAACTATGGTATATGCCTATAGTGCATATTATACAACAGTGAAAATGTCCAGCAGCCATACATGTTACCATGGGTGAATCTGACATAATGCTGAATAATAAAAGCAAGTCAGAAAACTGCATAGTTCCATTCGTAGGCCAGTTCAAAAACAACATCAAACAATGTTTGGGGGTACGTATTTGTTAAAAGTATAGAAAAAAAAAAAACAAGGGAATGATAAACACAAAATTCAGGATAGTGGCTATCTACAGGGTGGAGAGGAGAGATGTCTGATCCGGGAGGCACACAAAAAGAGTTTCAACAGAGTGGGAATTGTTCTATTGCTTAAGCAAGGGCGTGACCGTGGAAGTTTCTTATTGTATTTTTATTTGAACATCTCTGAAATCAGGATGGTTTTAAAATTGTTGTCAGCTAGGTGGCAGTTGTATGTAATGATTCTGCCTTAGAAGTAACATAACCAATTTATTTTACTAATGTTTTCCTTTTATATATGCACAAGAAAGATTTGTGACAAAATATCTAAGTCTGAAAAATATTTCAAT